ATCCATCCATCCATCCATCCATCCATCCATCCATCCATCCGTCCATCGATGCTTTAATTTAGCCGTTCTAGTCATGGGTAGTTTAAAATCGAAAAGTGTGTATTCCACCTGTGTCTTTCTATTCATTTTCTTCGAGATACGCTTTTACATTTTGTTGTTCTTTAGCGCTCATAGAAAGAGTCAAAAACGAATTGATAATAAAAACTCAGATTGAGAGAAAGTCTGAACACCTGACCTTTGCCCGATTCAACCGAAATACATCACCTGTCTCTCTGTTAAGGTTCTCTCAACCGAAAATTGCGTTGACTTGAACAAATGAATGTCTTTTTACTTCTTCTTTTATTTATTGAATATACAAATTTACAGTCAACATTCAGGCAGTGAGCCGCAGCCATACAACGGCTGCCTGAGAAGAAGGGCGGCGGTTCAGCGGTTCGAACCTGGGACTCCCAGGTCATAAGTTGGTGATCTAACCACTTTGCCACCAAATCATACAACAGAACAGAAGCTGCTTACCCAACGGTTTGGACGGTACGATTCGTGCGTAGATGAAGTTTAACCAGAATTCCACACTGGCACGTCTCCATGCCGGTGTGTCGAGCAGACTGAATACAACCAGATGGATACAGTTGGTATCTCCGATGAAATGATCGTAGAGAAAGAGATAGGGGTCATAGCCAGAGAAGTCCCACAAACTGTATTCGTTGGTGACTATGATGGATAGAAACCGGGGGAAAAATACCAAGCGGTTATAGGTAGACAGGGATAAGCGGGTTCTATATGGAGGCCACGTCAAAAGTCACGACAAAACACGATGTATGCACTTACAGACATTAGCAGTAAACCAGCCCAAGGGGGAAAAGTTATCCGACAGACGTTGGTGGAAACATAGCCTTGGGAAAACATGTTGGAACGCTTGAAATGGACTTGAATTCATGAAATAATTCAGTTAGTAACTAGAAGAAAATGCTCGTCTTTCTGTTTGTTCACGATGGATGAGATTTTTCCCTCAAACGGGGAATAGGTGAATTGTTTGCTTTCCGGATTTTAAAAGTCGTATCAGTTCAATTATTTAGCGCGTTTATAGGGATTCATCTAGTTTCGGGTGATAGGGTAGACGGGTGTTTTCCAATAACTTTCACACTGTTTGTTATTCAGAATGCAGCAGATTTTGGAACAAAAGGGAAAATGAACGTGTGGTGTACATTTTAATGTTCAAAAGGAGAGATAATCTTCAATAAATTTGACAACGCTCATCGAATGAAGTTGTTCAGACGACATTTTAGATGCTAAATGTGTGAATTAGCCCATTCGGTTTTTCACAGGCACCAGACACTGTTAATGATGACAGGGACACAAAAAAAAACACTGCTGACGAGTCCCGAACAGGACGAAACAGCTGTCCTGTACTCTTTGTCAGTTATCACAAACATTTCTACTGCATTTGAAAAAATGCATTCAAATAATAGGGAAATACCGATCTCCCAAGGAGTGAAACCCACTCCCCAACATCATCAACAGTGCCTGATGCCTGTGAAAAACTGAACAGGCTAATTCAAACATTCACCATCTAAGCAGATTAACCCATTCGCACAAAATTAGGGTTAAGGGTTTGAAGTCGCAACACGAAGGTTCACGGTTCGAGTCCCGAAAGGGACACAAAAGGTACGCACTGCTTAGGAGTCCCGAACAGGACGAAACAGCTATCCTGTACTCTTTTTCAGTTATCACAAACATTTTCACCTCATTAAAAAAAGTATTCGGACAACACTTTGGATTGTTACTCAAAAATAAGAGTGGAAAAATGCAAGCTATTGTTGTTGTTTACTGTTTTTCGACCATTTTTCTATCGGTCGCTTGCTGTAAAGGAGCTGCGTGAGAGAGATGGCGGAATAATGATAACCTCAGTGGATCACATATTTATGATTTCCGTACAACTAAGAACGTGGTATATTTGCTGTGAGGCGATCAAGTTTGCCAATAAAATTATTATCCCATAATATACCTGTTGTAGGAGAGTAATGAAGGATTATGATTCGATTATATATTGCGATTTTTGTCGTGTACTGAGTGAATCAAATATGAAGTGAAAAGATAAGAAACACTGTACATTGGCTTCGACCTGATTGGTTCTTATCAGCGCCCGACCATGTCAAAGCATCTGTACAGTGCTTCGTAGCTTTTCAGCTCACGCTATCTCTGCTCTAAACACTGTGAAATGTACCATGTGCCCAGGCACTCCGCATAGTTACCAGTAATATGTCATGAAGCTACGATGAATGATTTGTGTTTTCAATGAACGCACTCGCTGAACAACTGTTCTCGCATCTGATGATTCAACGGATCTAGTTGCCAGGTACGGTGACAATCTGAATTGAATGAAGCAAATTTTTATGTAAACCCACTAGGTAACATCTGTTTGGTTTGTGGATATAGAATTGTTTCCATCATGCAGGTCAAACATTGAGGTCTACAGATTTTGGCCTATATGGCTGGTGCTCACCAAATCACCCCAAAACCAACCCAGTTACGCTTCCCATGTCCTGGAGAGCACCAAATTAATCACGACACTACGACCAACACATTCGTCCAACTACAAAGGCTAAGTTTAACTAAAAAGACTCGCGTGATTTAAGTTGAAAGACTGGGAGCAGGAGGAGGGATGAAATAACCGAAAGTTACTCGACATCCATTTAAATCGAAATGATAACCCACAAGGCATCGATTATCTCATTTTCATTGCAAAAAGCAAAACCAATTTCCCTGATGGTTGCAGTCCCATTCTCCCACAAAAGATAACGGAGAGACAGTTGAACGTACTCGGTACATAACAGATCTGGAGGAAATAGTTTATGAAAGGAATGAATGCTAACATTTCTCACCTCATTATACTGATTTAGAGTCGTTTGCGTGATTTTATTTCAAACTTGCACTGTCGCTGTTTGATGGATTATACAACCGTGATGAGTTTGCCTCAGTCAGAAGGTATTTCTTCGTAGCATAGAATAGGGTGAAAGGTGGCATTTAGTGAAGGCTTACTGTGTACTTCAAACCCCCGCGTGTAATTTTCGTGCGCGATTTCCGCGTTCCATTCGTCCGGAACAGTCGTTCGTCGACGATTGACTGCAACTGAGGCGAGAATGAAACAGTGTGTGAGAGTGTGTACGTGTGTGCGAGTGGGAGAGATGAGAGTGATAAGCAGTCAGATTACTGAACATTCTAAGCCAAGGAGTGCGGACGGAAAACACAACGTGTAAATAGCTCATCGATGCCGTGCGTGACTTTTGACTTGATGGCGAAACGGAAAGAACAAACCGCTTATCGTTATGAAGTAAGATGAAATTAGAGAATTGCTAAACACTCCAACGTCGAACGAAGGCATAGCGGGCAATTCATTTATCTATTATTTGGATTGAATAACATGCACACCAAAAGATTCGTTTGTAAACTGGACACATAACTGTCCATTAAAATTAGGCTAAATGTGATTTTATAAACACCTGATAGCAGATTTATGGTCACTGTCCGGTGTGTAAGCCGTCTGTTCAACGCAACACGAATCTCGGACTAAATAAGAGCTTTGGTTACAAATCAACTACGACCATGCTGGCAACTACCATCTCCATCACTGTCTTCATCATCATCTTGATAATCATTTTGATCATCATCATCGTCATCATCATCATCATCATCCGAAGCATCATCATCATCATCATCATATTCTGCCACACAAAATATCAACTTCATAAGCATATTATGATGTGGAATATGTTTGAATGACTATTTATTTAACGAAAGAAAGTTTAGTTTAGTCGCTTACACGAGCTTGCTCTAGTGAATGAGAAAATGCGATAGGACTACAAGCTTCGTTGTAGAACCCATTTCCAATTTCCCTTCACGAATAATAGTTAAAGAAGGCGAATGACAAAAACCATGATGATCGGAATAATGTCCATGAAAGTTGATAAGCACCAATATCGATGTTGATAAGATCCTCAATAATAAATATTCCATTGATTGTATTTCACTCCGTCTACTATTTCGCAATTCAACTGTCCAAATTATTCTCTCACAATACCTTAATCCCGCTGTACTGAATTGTTAACGTGCATTTGCTCTCCACTGGACCGTAAACTGGTCACCCATTCATAACCCGGGCGAGTTATGGACCTTTCGATTACAAAATGAGTGATTCACATATTTAGTTCATCTGTGGACAATTAAATTTCTAAGGATGAGTAGATAATTGTAGAATGAATACGCAAGAAGAATGTGCTCAACTACTGGTGAACTTTTAAACACGGATATGCTTACGAATCTAGTCCTAAATAGTAATGTGCCTGTTACACTTGCGTCATATAAAAAAATGTTTTCGGAGCCATCAGAATTGACCGTAGTTAATCAATTACTCAAAAGATTGGGAACTTGTGTACATAATTGGATTTCTGTTATTCATGGTCTCCCGGTATTCGGCACATGATTTATCGCAATGTGTTTTTGAAGAATTAACTGGAATTTGTATGGAAAAGACATTGTTACAATTTCCATTAACCAAAGTTATGTTACAATCCATACACCAAAATTGGCGTCTTACTCATTCGCCTCGGCTATGCTCAGGGATTTACCATCGAAGTGTTTTGTTGATTTCCTTTCTGTAACTATTTATAATGCTATTTAAATTATTCTTTTGCACTAAATGTATGCACAGTTAGCTCTTCTCTGCCTCCCAATATCAGAGTTAGCAATTAAAACGATTTCATCGGACGCCATTTTGTTCGTCTGAAAAATCTTCAAGTGTAACACTCATGGAATTCACTGTAGCAAACAAAATAAGTAAGAACTAAGTGTAATTCATTCTCCGTAGTGAACAGTTTGGCAATTGTTTGTTTTCGCGTTTAGTAACATTTCGCTCCTGTTCATTTTATCGGCATCGCTTTTTTTGCTGTGTCCACAGAAACGTCAAAAAATTTTGACTATCACTTAAGTTCTGGCCGCTTTTATGCAGCAGAATAAATAAAAGAGGTTCGACGGGACAAGATGCTTTTACGCTCAACTGAATGGTAATTTCTCTTTTCGACGTACCGCTGAAGATAAGGCTGTCTGAGGGTATCAACTTCCATAGGTGTCACTTGACCCAGAGCTTCGATCGGACCGACAAAAACGTAGCAATTGTTTTCTATCTACAGTGTCACCGATGGAATAAATTACACCAACTTAATGATATCTTAGTAAATATTCGTATATCAGTTGTGAAATAATAATTCCCTTTCCTTTGTGCTGGTATACATTCTATTGGAAAAAATTCCTTAAGTGATCTTGGTATAATAGGCTCCGGGTTTCCTACAAAATAAGGTAACCCCCAACACAGAGAGTTTTCCCAAACATCTCCCAAGTAAGCTTTATACACTACCGCGGGACTGTCTGTGCGTTTTGTTTCTTCAAACCTAAATAAACCATTCTTGTTATTATAACCCCTCGGATACATTTAGATGCGTTCAACTGTTGCTATCTGCTGCAGGTTTATTAAAATTGTCAAAATAATTCTGATCAGATAGGCCTCATATTTGTTCGAGGTTGATTGTTACTCATTTGCTGATGCGTATTTTTGCATGTTCTGTGAAACAGTGCGGCTGTTCTTACCATCGAATTTTTGAAGGAGATTTGCCGTGCAAAACTCCCAGTTATTGTCGCTGCTTCCAGTTATGGTTATCACAAGTGAACAGCTTTTGATTTATCTTTCTGTTTGAACCAACCGTCACGGGAATCTTAGAGATGTTTAACTTAGTTGGTCTCAGACCATAATTTACCCTGGATATACACATATATATATATATATAATTAGGCAAGAGCTTGAACTTTGAAGGGTTTGACGATGTACGTTGAGGAAGCAGTGCCGTTTGTGCACTTTATCCGGTTCAGTCATTTTTAGGACATTGTTTTCATCATACACATTATTTCTACAGCACAATTATTTATTATAATCTGTTTTCGTTGAATCAAACGAATTTTTGGGTACCCCGAAGTTTACATATATCCTAACAATTTACACCCCTGAGGTATTTCTATTTGGTACCAATTGGTTTCCGAATTACGGTAGTCCTAAAATTCGGAATAGCCTCAGTGACCAGGTGAATGGCATCACGCAAACGATGAGCTTCAAAGTCGAGATAAGGCCACCTCATTCCCGGTGCATATCGTTGGATGGCTTCGTGGGCTTCAGGAATTTACCCGTTATTCTAGTTGGTGCTTTTTTATTGATCAGAAAAATGGATGGATTTCATAGCTTTTTTGCGCCAAGGTACTTTCTGTTTAACGTCTCAGCTTGTCTCGCACTTTTCAAGCGTGTGCGATTTCAGTGGTTTACATTTTAGTGTCTGCTATTGATGAGGTGATGAAGATAGTTTCATTTGTAAGATGGCGTATCTTAACTTAGTCTGCTTGAATTTTAAACAGTAGGAGGTCGAGGAGATAAGAAAATTCATTATCCAAACGGTATAAGTTACTCTTTTTTACTTAAATTTCTTTTAATGCAGATAACTAAAAGTGAGTCATTTTTTAGTCAATTTTAGTAACCTCTAAAAGTACGTACTTATCTTGCCTCTAACAAGCTCTAACCGAAAACTATCAAAACGGAGGCCGAACCCATTCTTATTGAAGTTTACAGTCAAGCGGCCAACTCTCGAAGAAATGATTCAAATATCTGACTCACAAATTATCTTATTTATTCGATACTTTACCGTTGCTAAATTGTTTTTTGTTCTTCAGTGTGTGCCTCAGCTGTTAGTCTTCCTTTATCTTTTGTTCACCCATTCTGTACACAGGCATCCATTAATCCTTATCAAATTTCGGTTTCCAGATGTCGTACATCTCTGCTCCAATCTTCTTTCTATCCCCGACTTCGAAGTTGTAGAACACACTCCAACTTCGTGTTTCCCCCAACTTACAACCTTAAACTCTGTGAAAGCAGAATCAATAAACATTGCCTTGCTTGAATGTTTCCCGCTTTCCCTTTTACAGTATGCTTTTTCTCCATGAGGATTTGCACTTTTACTCTAATTCACATTATGTATAATAAAAATGCAAATTATAGGCATCTTGATTTTTGCATACCTCTCCTCTAGGGTAATGCATTAGATCCTTGTTTTTGTTATGTGGCCACTATTTGTGACATATTTATGGTTTTGGCCTCCCTCAGGTTATCAGAGTTTCAGCAGGGTTTCTATTCTCAACGCGAAAATCTGCAAGTCTAGTCTCACAGGGAACATAAAATGTACGCGCTGCTAATGCGTTCAAACTATGACGAAACAGTCACTGGACGGTGGCATCTGATTAATCAGAAAATGAACAGGACAAATGGGAATCCGATTGAATTCTTGATAGGAGTAAAAAAACAAAAGGATCTCCATTCCGACCGGAATGTTCGAGAATGTTTGGGCCTTAAACAAAATATCCATTTAGGCGGGAGACTTTGAATGTGAAAGAATGTGAAACTGTTTCAGCAACGTGTTCCTGAGATAGCGGCATGCGTTTGACGTTCCGATGCATTCAAGCCAATGGGTTTCGTCGGTGTTAGAATCAAACATGTGCTGGGCTCCTGATCCCCCTGGTCTGGTTTCACGTTTGCACAAACTTTGAACGGCAAAACTGCTCATTTGTTCAAAGGTTCAATTTTAATCTGCGTCTTGTTGATAATAAGTTATTCAATTGTTAAACATTAATTTATTTTATGTTATGTGTTATGTTATGTGATGACCGACAAAGATCACTGAACTGTATTGTATTGCATTGTGTATTGTGTATAACTTTTTTCAGGTACCGGAGCTCACATTTCAGTTAAAAAATAGTACAAGCTAACCGTCGGAATGTACATAGCAAACTATGAAACAATTTTCACAGACGGAAGGATATTTCATAACCCAGGGTTAAGAAAAAGTTCACTTATTGTCCGCTCTACGTGCATGAGTACACGAGAAAGCTACGGTATAGTTGAATTGCGGTAAGCGGTAATCCGAGATGAAATTTGGCGGAATTTGGAGCGTGTTGAATGATGGGAACGACATCGTGTCAGTTATGTGTACAATGGATGGTCAGGCTCTGTGAGAATCCTCTCAGCAAACTTCACACAGGAAGTTACATGATGGTCTGAAAGCTTTAAAGCTAATTCATTCATAGGAATAGAACAGGCACGACTAATAATGGTTAGACCGCGTCGTAGACATTAAAATCCTGTTTGAGTAAGCCAGGAAAAATGACCGGGGAACAGTAGAGTTAGATGGGAAAAGCACTGATAAACAAAGTAAGAAATAACTGACTGGGATGCACGAAACTGCCTGAGCTTTCAGATTTGAAATGATAGACGTTGCAGTTTACCAACGCAACGGTTTCGGCCTATTTGGGACTCGTCGGTTATACGTACCTTCTGTGTCACTTTCAGTATCTGGTTCCTGTGAAAAACCAAATGGGCTAATCCAAACCATTATGGTCCAACCGAATTTCTTTTCTTTCCGCTGCGGGTACCCTGGTTTATCCAGATTCATCTGTTTATCAGGAGTAGGTCAACATGTTTGACGTCAATAGAGCCTGACCTAAAAATATTCAGTTTGGTTAGATACCTTATATAACCACGTGTACCATCGTTTGAAACCCTTGCTTTAAAACCGTCCAAATAATTCACGTTTCGCGGTCACTAGGTGCTCATTTCGCATCACAGAAGACATTTATCGTAATAAAAAACACAACTGTAATCACCTAGCCTTTTCCGCTGTCAAGATAATTTAGCATGTGGTTCATATTTGATATTCTCCGTAAATACTGGGCTTACACACCACGATCTCGTTCAAGATCCTTTTATATTTTGAAAACCAAATTACCATATGACCAACTAAAGTTGTTTGGTTTCCTCGTTATTGATTTTTAAAATGTCTCAGTGACCCAGCTTTGGCTTTTTGGTTAAGATCGTCAAATATATTGATGATGAGGTTCTGTTGTAAACCGTCACAAATGATCTGGAATGATATTCATTGGTGGACAGCTTATCAAAATTACAAGCTTTCAAAAATCAATTTGGTGTTTATCTGAATGCTTCTTAATATTCTCAATGTTGCTTTTGTCCTCCATGACTTGAGTCACCATTGGCAGCCCAAATCATCAATGCGTTACCGTAATGAGAACACACATTAGAAAAGTAGACGTCGATCTCCGTTAGTCCTTTTATCTGAAATCCTATGTTCAAAAGTACGTCAATTATTATTCAAGACATACAACCTGAGAAATTTGGAGTGTAGAATTCGAAGATTTGCTCTGCTGTTTATCGTCGCATTTGTCATCGTCATATTTTATTAGACCACTATGATTTTTCATGATAAACGTAAAAGAAAACGTTTTTATCAACATTCGCCATGGCTTAGCAATTGTCTATCTTGTTTTTCTTATGCCCACGAACATGTTCCTCTTAAAACTGGATGATATCCATACGCCCTCTTATGCGAATTTTCCCTGTATGGCTTTTAACAATCCCAGCCATCCACTCAGTTCCGGTCTGCCCACCTGCCGTTCTCACGCCCGAACCAGATCCAATTTCGCTGTGTAACAATCCGCGTAAACAGTTTTCGCAACTCAAAAGTACCTTATTTGGATAGAATTTTAACTCCAAACGTAGGTCCGGCATGAAGTTAGCGTAAATCTGCATCACTGATTCTCTTCCCATTCAAATCTAATCCCTTAAGTTTGAAACGGTAGTCATTTTCTTCCCTGTTTGTTGGTAAGGATACAATTTTTGACTGGTTTGTTCACTTTGAAAGAGTTGCATGCATGTCCGAAGGCTGTTATTTTTTTGCCTACGGGCTCAGAAAGCGTGATTCTTTCCAAGTTAATCATACTGTTCTATTCGTTTTGTCCTTCTTTTTGGAAAAAGAAACGATTTCACCTAGTTTTCAAAACTCCTAAACGTTTTTCCCGATAGGGTGGCATTAGATTTTTGTTTGTCTCCAAGCCTTTCAAAGCATGTGATGGCTATGGTAGCAGGATAATTCAAAACCAGGGGCACTATCGTTATCTTAAAATCATAAAACATTTTCAAACTCCCAAAAACGATCACAACGTGGACTTTATGCGCATAAATTAACATACATACTTTGTGCGTCCGTCCGTCATTTGTATAAAAATAGTCGTCTTCTTCAAGGAAAAACTGTACAACTATGATTTTTTGCTTTACTAAAACGTTTACTAAAATATTTACTGAAATGTATTTTTGTCTTTCTCTGAATTTTTAAATTACTGAGAATTTGGCCTTGGGGTAAAGCGGCATTCCTTGACTTGACATGAACGGTAATACATGCAAAAGTGCACAAATCATTCAATTTGAATCAGCACCACACAATGCAAAACGTGGTATTTTAATACGGATAGTTTTGAAAACTAATCACATTTCCCATTTTCCCTTTTGCTTCAACTAAACAAAGCAGGAAAGCAATGTCAGTTAACGCTTCTTTTGCGCTATGCACGATGTAATTCACTAGATGGTCAACACGAATCCCCCACAACTCTCAAACAACATAGCAAGTGTATGTCGTGTGCATTTCAACGAATAATCTGTTTGATCGGATGATGTTTATAGCACTCTGCTGTATAAAGGAACTCAGAGAACCAGCGCGCCCCATTAACAACACTCATAGTTTCTCTCAAACAAATTGCTGCTAAATTGCATTGTTCTTTAAGACACGATACACTCTCACCGTCAAATTGAGAACACTTTCTTACTTTGCTCCACAGTGAATCCGGTCAGCTCACCCACGGAGTTTAACTTTTTCCGCAAGAATGCTGAGAGTAGACCGGCTCGTAAGGAATTGGTCAGCTGAGTTTTTCCTGTCATTGTGGAACCAAACAATTTCAGCTTGATTCTCGGGAGCAGATAACTGGTGTTCAATAGTTGTTCACACCAAAGTTTGCGTTTCTCCTTTTTCATGAAGGGAATACAAGACAAAGAGGAAGAGGGAGTACTTGGGAAGGATGATGCTGTCGGACAAAGTTTTGTAACTATTTCTGTTAAAAGAGTGGTCAGTTATTAGGTAACAAAATTTCTATCGAATTATCTTTGGAATCATGAGTCTATTCGGAATGAAAAGAAGTCCTCAGTTTCATATATTAACACGTGTGTCTGTTACAAACATCCATACTCTAATCTAAATTTAACACATGATCTGTGCACGTTGCAGAGCATCAGCAGACTTGTGTTTGTTTGTAAATTGTTTTCCCCGTGATAAATGCTTTTCACGCGCCCAAACTACGAGAAAACTAAAAGTTTATTCGCGCACAGTATCCTTACAGGCAGTTTTTACAAACACAGTAAATAAGAAAATGAGAATAAATAGCTACTCACTTTCTCAGTTACAGACTCATTCACTGATTGACGCACTGATCCATTTACTTAATCAGTCAGTCAAACGAACAAACAAATAATAAATTAAACAATCAATCATTCACCTAGCCAATGGGTGAATCAATGAATCTATCAATCAAACATTCGACCCAGCAGAGTTACCTACACGTTTTCTCAGGACCACTCTACTGGTAATATTTTCTCAAAGGAACAATGGTTCAGTGGATCAATCCTACTTTCTATCTACCTTACGGTCTAAGTATCCCGCCCTATTTAACCTAGTTCCCTATATGACCTGCTTCTCCATAACCTGTCACCTAGTGTACGGACTGTATAGTGGATAAGGAGAACAAAATAGCTGTGAATATCCAAACAATCAAACACTGGTCTCATTTATCTTTCACGATTCTGGTTCGATTAGCACCGTTTGTCTGTCTGTCTGTCTAATGTCTGAATGTTTGTTTCACTGTCTGCTGTATAACATGGTTTTAATAGCAATTTTTAGTTGAAAAACAATAAACTTGATGAACCTTGGAAAGTTTCTTCAAGTTCTCGGAAATTTATCCAAGTTAAATAACGTTCATAAATTTCAAACATTCCTGTAAAGATAACGTAAAGATCCCTATCGCATCCTTTTACAGTAGGTTTTAGAATTTCTCTTGCTTCCAAACTCTCTAAATACCATAAAACTCATTGCGTTTAGGCTCATTGAAGTCCAATGGTTAAACGTCGTGGGCTGTCTCAATTTCATGGAAATTGTACATCATTATCGGTCAATTTATAAACCTTCATGTACGTGATTGTGTCAGATGATTCGTGTCCGCGCAAACAATGCCAGCTAATAAATTGGAAAGGGTAAGTACCTATGCACTCAGCATTTAAAGCGAAATTGTGGGTTTTGTAAAACGGTAGGAAAAACTCTTCAGTCTGACGATCTATTTTTCCCTGCATTGAGGTCTGCTCAGAGGCTACCAAACAATGAGAATTGTAAAGTAAATTCACACGTATCTGACAACCAAGCATTCATTTGGTCTAAAAGAGCTCGCGAGAAAAATGTGTACGCCTGACAACATCGCAGATGAAATGCTAAAACCGAATCGCACTCTCCAGGACAATGGTTACTCGAGGTCATTCTTGAAAAAGTATAGCATTGAACGTTCAAAGATTGAGCAACCGATATCCATACGGAAGGTTGTCCTACAAATGCTGTTTAAGGATGATGATGTGAGTAATTTTTTGGAGCACCGCATAAGCTCATCCATCAAACATACAGCCGAACCAGTTTTCGTCTACACGTGTGACAGAATACTGGTTGCTCCTGTCGAGCAACCGCTCCTGCAGTATACCAAATCCAATCAATTGTACCAATTCGTCTTTGGGTGCTCGGTCACCTACCTAGGTAGAACCGAGCGACAGCTTAAACAAAGAGTAGCCGAATACATCCTTGTGTTGGTCAATAAACTGGTGAACGAATCACACCCTAATGATCAAGGTCAAAGGTCAATCGAACGCCGCACACCAACGTCATCGATCGCTCGTCACTTGCTAGACTGGGCATCAAGTGAACTTGACCACAGCATTTAAAATTGTCTTCACGCAAAACTCTCGGTTGCTCAAGTTTGCAGAGGCGCTTGCTATAAAAACCATGGAAGCCTGAACTGTGCAAGCAGAAAGAGTTATTTGTAACAACACAATGTATGCGAACATATGTTTTCGGTGAATTCCATTTCAAACCTTTGCAATCACATTTATATGAATCAGTTTCAATACGGTCAAACAGAAAGGTATGTGTTTGACAATGAGCTCAAGAGAACTCGAAATTCGTGCACAGTTTGGATCACATAACCAAAGTCGTTACATCATGGTGTTACGCTATGGTCGTGTGAACAAGCCATTTTCTCTTCCCTTGGCCAGGGGAGTTTGAGAGCTTGGATCAGTTTGCCTTCTGCGCACAGCTCAGGCTTCATGAGTTGGATGCTAATCGGCTCTGCGGTTACCAACGTCCGAAACCGTATTGCTCTCGAGGGGTCTGGTGAGAGTCGATAAATGATTTTAAATGTCGAGTGCATGTCAACAAAGTGTCCCGTCTCTATCGGATGAGCAACAACCGAGCTTGACACAGCCCACTCCCACCATGTGTGAGTCAGCGTGGAGTGTGTTCTTCTATCGGTTGAGATAACTGCTTTGTCGTTCGACCTAAATAAGTCGCACCAGAGGTGCACGTGAATTGGTAGACAACCATAGATGAGGTCAACATAGGCAATTTATCTTTTTGTAGCATCTGATGTTTGGTGACGTAGAGAACACACATCTTAGCCGAGCGGCATTGAATGCAGATTTCACTGCTGAGGATAAAACTCTACTAAGCCTCTCGTGGCGACATCGCCTTTGAACGGAAGTTTTATAAAAAGCATTTTCTTTTCCGCTTTTGGTACTTTTGTTGGCTTATTCTGTTCAGTCCAATTACGGTTGATAAACTTCCCAGGATAGCCATTTTCCACCAAGGTTCTCCTCACTAGTTCAATTTCGTCCTTCAAAGTTACTTCTAACTCTAGCTTTAACTTGGTAGAAAGATGGACGCAGATAACACCAACAGCTCATCCGCGATAAAGGGTACTTGTTAGTTTTCATTACATTCTTTGACTGTAATATGTACCTGAAGAGATACAGTGAAATTTTTCCGGAGATAAATTGTACAACACTGTGCTACCGAGTTCCTTATTAGAAGAATGCAGACAAGATACGTGTGTCAATGCAGTGGTTTGTTTTTCACCATGAAATTCAACTAACAAACTTTACGAAAAGTGAAAGTGCCATTCGCCATGTTTATTCCATCCAAGAGCTTGTTCATACTGGGTAGCATTGCTGTTTGCAGAAGCTTTTGTGTTCTTGTCAGAGACCAACTGCTTATTTCACTCATGGGCATACGGAGTGACTCCGTGTAGTTGCTCATAATTATTGATTTTTAATTAAAGCAACTTTTGTATGCGATAAAATATGTATGGGACATCGGTTGAGGAATGAATCTCTTACCGGTTTCATCTTGGTTAACAACATGCCAACCTTTTTGTGACCTTTTGCAAATGCGACCACGTCCGGCGTGACACCATTCTAGATAATGGGGTTCGATATGAACAAACAAGGAGAGGTAAAGTGGATCAGTGAAATTACGACTGAGTTAATGTGTGATGCGTGAAAAGGTGAAAACCCCGCGAGACAGTAAAGGTAAATTCAAACAGTTGTATATTACGGGAGGTCTGTTTTACAAAAGGGTCCGTTTATAACCGGGACACTCCACTGGATTTGCAACACGCACTGATTGCATGTAATATTAATTCCTTTTAAATTTCGGTTACAGTCCTAAAATCGAAAGTAAACGATGGGCAGTGGATGAAGTGGTTACAAATTAAAGCACAAAACTACTTTCAAAACCACCGCCTTTGAGCGTTTCACAGAGAACAGTTTGCATTTGCCAGCAAAACAAGTAAGCAACTCCTATTCGAGCAACCGCAAACGCTTTAAAGCTGTAGGCAATAGCTCTGTAAACGACCTACTCCAATTTTGGTACAAATTGAGTTCTCTAAGTTGGCCTCGAAAGCGTGTGAATGTTCACAATTAGAAGTGGCACTACCAATAATCACTGTCCGATTATCAGCATGTTTAAAATCTCATCCTAAATATAACGAAATGACGCGTGGGAATAAAATCGGTGGGTTATTTAAGTTTGAATTCTCACGAAAAGGGAACCCCCGGCTGATTGCAAATTCGTCCTAGAAAAAAAAAACAGGAATAAGATGTTCAAGCTTGAAGTGTGTTCAGTGAACGTGTTTGCGGTGTCGCACCTGAACGCACAACTCAGGAAGTGTCGAACTGATGGTCCGGTAGAACAAAAATTGAACTACAGAATGTGATTAACGAATCACTGATTCTCGCGTGCCCAATAAACAAGGCATTTTCTCTCATCTCTCTCTAAACTTTGATCCACGTTTACATCTGATGCTTTATTTCCCTGCCACAGACCCAACAAATGATTTCCCAGTAACAAAATGGAAACATATTTTGGGTGACGATTAAGGGAAGATGATAAATGTGAATCTTTACTGACAAGCGTTAATGAAACGGAAATTGACCGAGGCAAACAGGATATAATTTACTGAATATCCATCTCTCGGGATGTATAAAGTGATTTCTCCAATGAGCTTGAATATCAAGTGACGGTATGAAGAAAATTGGCGAATTATAAAATGTTGCACGATTAATAATGTACACTGGTTTGCTTGAACAAGCGAACTAAGAAACGTAGCTTGTTCCACAAATGTTATAAGTGAACGCGCTGGGTTATGCATCACGTATTTCCAAATGNTTCCAAATGTGTTTGATTTAGTAACATTTATCACAATATTGGTGACAGACGGATAGAGGGAATTGGAGACTTGAATTGGTTTATTGATCGGAAGTGGGGTATAGAGTAGAATTCTGTTCCCCTTCCCCCGATAACAGCGTTAGGATTTTATATGAAAAAAACATCGGGTATCTAACTGTTGATAAAAACTTAGATTAATCTTTCGGCTGCACTAAACAAATAT